TATCAACTTGCCGCAGCATTTTGACAAGGGGTGTTTCTGTGTGTGAGGGGTGAAGCGAGGGATGGGGGAACCAAGCTATAGGGGTGGGGGGGCTTTACTCACCGAACGAGCGACTATGTGAACCACTCAGGCGATGCCTGGATATATACAGAAAGTACATAGAGTTTTATATAAAAAGCGGTAACCGCAATGACGAAGCCAGGAACGAAAGCCAGTGAGCCGTGCCGCTTACATAGGCCATAAGTACACTTACCCACACACACATACATTAACATACATACAACATAGGGGCATGCACATAATCACTCTTACCGCCCACTTCACGTGCTAGGAACAACAAAGGGGAATTACGGCGGAATATCGAGGGAATGGAATGGAACGGATTCGAGAGTCTAAGGAGCTGCAAGAAGGGTGCTTTTGGGCCACTGGAGCGACAAAAAGTGGAAAATGAAGCTGTATGGCAGGGGCAGAGACTCTGGCTGTGCCACCAAACTTACCAAAGTGGCAGTAAATGAACCTAATTTCATATCGCACAATGACTACCCACTACAGTATATAGCTCAGATACATCCATACATACATACATACAGATACAGATACATTATACAAATCGAAACGTTCATTAAATACTCTTTCAACCTCCGGACATTGGATGGGAATTTAAATTGGTAATGCGACCGGGGCCGGACCTTGTCGGCTCCTCAACCGTTTTGGACGTTAACGTCCTCGGCACTATCGGCACACTCGGTTACATACATACAGTCGTATCGTAGATACTCTCGGTTCCACATAGACCACATAGAGTGTATACCATCATGCTACATACAAATAGGGCCCACTGACAAATCTACATGCCCCGTCGAATGCAGTGAATGCTGTACATGGCACTTTGTACATACAAAGTCGCATGTGCCTGTGTGTGCACAGCAAACTGCAAGATACAAGATACCCAAGCCAGGGGCGTCGCTGCCAAGGGGTTGGTTTTCGTGGTTAAGCGGTCTTGTGGTATATAGTGTTGAGCTAGAGCGTCCAAAGTGAAATTGTTAAATGATGGTTTACGTTTCAATGGGTGTATCTTTCGTGGGTTTCTTGGGCCATCATCATTTATAATCATATATGGAAATTGAAGATGGGTTTTGGTAAAAGGTTATTTGAAAATAATTGTTTTTAAAAAGGGGATTTAAAAGAGGGAATCATTAAAATTAAAAAAATAATTTAATTATTTCAAAATAAATATATAGAAGTTTTAAGAAAAGAAGACAAAGTAAAGAAAATTCAAAGGATTGAACTTAAAAAGTGAATATTAAATCTTAAAAACCATACTTAAGCTCTAATATTATGCATATTCCTAATATAATACTTTCCAAATACAAAAAAAGATATTTGTTACATAAAATAATATTTGAGAAATATAATTCTATTTAATTTAATTAATTTAATTATATTTTTATATACAAATTTATAAAAAGTTTAAAACCCTTATACCAAAAAGCAATAAATTACCTCTCCCATAAAATCTAAGCCTCATTTACTCCAAATACACCCCCTTTCGCAGTTTGAAAAACCAGTCCAACCCCCCTTGTTTCTACGCCACTGGGTATTCCATGGTCTTGCTTTTTGTTGAAATATGTATTTTGCGAGCCGCACAAGCTGCGCACATAGTGCCACCTCCTACCCTCTCCCCTAGCCCATATACCCCTCTTGGCACTGTGTATCTGCGTCTACCTCTCCGCCTCTGCTTTTGCTTTTGCTTTGTGCCTGTTTGGATGGCTCTGCTAGCGTCGCTGCTGCTGCCTGATGCCTCAGTCGACGTCGTAGCTGCCTCGACCGCTATTTTTATGTACCGAACGCACAACTACATGCACATATAAATTGTTGCCGTGGCAAAAGGCAAAACCAAAAACAAAAACATCGGCTCGGTGAGTTCGGTGTTTCTTGCCACAGCCACGTTGAGGAAAAGCAAAAAAAAAAAAAGCCAACAGGGTTGCATGCAACATTAAATGGACATGGACATGGACATGGATGGTTTTCTTTTCGTTTATTTTACATTTCTCCTCCTTCTCCTCTCGTACTATTTTGTTTTTGTAACTTTTACTATTCCTCTTTGGTGTGGCTTTTCTATTAAAGAAAGATTAGATCGTTTGCCCCCCTCTCCCATCCCCACCCAACGATGACTCGACCCACTCTCTTTCCCTTTCACTCGTGTTGCAGTTTCATTGTGGATGCAACTGCAACGGCAATGTTTTTGTTGCTGCTTCACACATAACTAATTGAATTATCACGCCTGCGGCACCAGATGAGATAGGAATGTATCTCATGGATGTATCTAGAACTTGTAGTACTCTAAATTCTCCTTCTCTCCTCATTTTCCTTTCCCCTATTTATTCATCACACTTATTTTTAGACGCAAACCAAACTAATTAGAAGAAGCGCCGTTAAAATCTTCGCTTCGCATATTTTTGAGCTCCATGCCGCCGCTGCGGCTGCTGCTGCCGCCTGTCTCTGCCAGCGGTGACTGCTCTGCCGGCATTGGGTTTTAAATTCAAGAAAGGTTTTCGGTTTCGGTTACGGTGTCGATTTATATACCGAAACGCCCATTGCCGCCAACGCCGTTGCAGCCTCAACTTCTGCTGATGAAGGTTTTTAAACAAAAGCCTCTCATTTCCATTTTATATACATTTTTCAGTTTCTCGTTTTTATTTCATTTTTATTTTTTTTCGCTTTCCGTTCTATTCCCTTTCTTTCTTCCCTTTTTTTTGTTTGCACTTTACTTAACAGGATATGCCCGAAAACGCAACGAGCCTGAAACCCTGGTAGAGCGTGGTCCTGGTCCTGGTCCTGAAACAACCCTCCCTTTTTGGCACGGAAGACAGCAACACCGAATCGAACTTTGGCTTTCCAACTAATTGTATCGCATTTGTTGTCACGCCAGTATATAAGATTTTTTTTCGCCTCCTATATACTTTCAGAGGCATATGAAAACCATGCCTAGCTGAGCGCGCACTTAGCCCCCACCCCTCGAGACGCTTCATTCGTTGCCACAGAGAATCCCCGCGGCCCATCCCTGTATCCTATTACGACGTACGGCCTGGCTGGCTAGCCAGCTAGCCTAGCTAGCTATCTCTACCGCCAGCAGATACAAAGATACACATACTGCAAGATGCCGGAGATACAGTGACAGCCCAGAGGCGAAATTTTGTCATTCCAGTCTCAGTCTGTAGGAACTCTGATAGTCGTCCCTGTTGCCGATGTTGCCGCCTTTGTTGGGTTTGGAATTTCGAGCATTTTCACAGTTATTCCGAGGGTTGCCGGCTACGACAAACGGTCCCAGCCAAAAGGAAGCCCAGCTTCAATAGGATGGTAGGATGTGGTCTCCGGTCCTCCGATAGCATCATCGCAGTTTCGTTTTAATATCTCTCTGGCTAAATGTACCGTTCAATTGTGCGAGTGTGTGCAGGATGTGAGTGTGTGTACACACACATGTGTGTATGTTTTGTTAAAGCAAAATTAAATTACAAGAATTTATATTGGCCGCGGGGGGGGTTACGTCCATATCTACGGGGTGGATTATACAAACATTTTACCTCTTCATATATGAGGGGGGGTTTTAAAATTATGGTTTTCCCGTTTTGAATACAAAATGTGGCGAAAAATTGCACAGTTGTTCTGGGAGGTTGGAGATTCAAATGATGGCCGGAGTAAAAAGGGGTTTCCTCTAAGAACTCTCTTCCGGAAATTGATTGTTTTTTGATGTTTATGATTACTGGGATGACTACTTTTGTGCTCAAGGATGTTGGGAGAGTGGGGTTTTATACAAAAAATATGCTAATCTTAGTTGCTAAAGGATTAATGTTTAAATAAATGGAAAAGTCTTTATAAGATCCATATTTTTGGGTGGTTAATGGGCTACTGCCAAGAAAACATCTTGGTTTTGAAACAAAATAAAAATCTAATTATTTAATAAGCTGTAATTTTTAATAAAAAATGGTAAAGTATCTTAGGTATCTTTTAGTTTAAAAATAAACTGAATCTTATAGATTTTTATGAAGTCAAACCTTAACTAAGTATCTTGATTGAGTACCTTAAGAAATGTGGAAGTTCTCTAAGAAGCCTGTTTAATTTTATGATAAAAACAACAAAAATCCAAGTCTTTCAAAAAATATTCCCGCATTTTTTTGGAAATTCCAAAAATTCTTCATCAAACTGGAGCCAGTTTTTATGGATGTTGTCAGCAGCGACGGCATTTTCAAGTCTTCTCCAAGATCTGCTTCAAAAAACCAGTTTTTCAACAAAAAATTAGTTAGTAAAGAAATACTAAAAACTTGTTAAAAACATAAATCTATAATCAAGAGCCATTAGAGAATACCAAATCACAAGCCTCCTAGAAGAGTCCTTCTAATTAGTCCCTGCAGATTTGAATCATAAGCCAATAAATACAATCTTTAAAGACCGCCTTTCCACGATGACTCACCAATTGCTACTTGCCACTTGCCACAAGCAGCTGGCCACGTCCCCAAGACGAGTTATTTGGTGGCCAACCCACCAATAGCGTTCGAGGGCCGTTTCTCCACCGACCAATCACAAGACGCCGGCTGCCGAAGAGCGCAACGAGAGAGAGGAGAGAGCCAACCCGAGAGAGAGTGAAAGGGCGAATGAGAAACAAACTCAAAGATATTGTATCTCTACATGCATTCTACACGGCGTGTAAAATCATGACGTAGAGCTTTGGGGAAAGCTCAGTAAAGTGAAGCATATCAAGGGGGGCTTGGGTGGCGCACAGGGTTTATTCAACTGCAGATACAATGTACATATTTACTTGCTGGTCTAACAGAGTATCTGAAAGATATGTTGGCATTGTGTCTGGATGGCGAGGTTATTCCAAGAATACCTACGGGAATGTTTTTGGGAGTTTATAGAAGTTAAGAGTTACCAGTTATTCTTTGTAGGTTCTTATAGACCTTGTACCCCGATTATGGATAAAAATGACTAATTTTTCATAATTTTCTATGAAACTCGATTTTATTTGAGACTTGATGGGTTTATAAATTAAAAGGCAGACGAATATTAGCAGACTTCCGTGTCAATGTTGAGTTTAGGCCTTGACGAGGACCTCGTAGTGATCCAGACGCACCTCCTCGCCACCAAATGGAATGTAGAGGCAGTGGTGGGACTGATGAATCTTGCCGGGAGTCAGACTGCCATGGTGATGGGCACGGCCGATGAAGAGTGGCTCACCGTCAGATGTCCGGCCGGCGAGCACAGCGTTTCCGGGCACGTTGCCGTGGCTGTCGTGAACCCAACCGTAACCGTATCCGGCCAACAGCTCAAAGTCGTGCTTCACCACCTCCCCGCCGCCGTAGGGCACGTAGGCACATCCTTTGTTGGGAATCACCTTCAACCATAAACAATAACAAATTAATTATGGGTTGCAATTTGTGATAACAGGTGAGAGGTTATATTACCTTGGCTGGCAGCATATCGCCCTCGTGGTAGGCACGGCCAACGAATATCTGATCACCATCCGCATCGTGACCGCCGACCACAGTTCCCGGCACAATATTGCGTCCGGAAGAGGAGACCCACACCTCCGGTTGGACTAGCACTTCATAGGCCTCAAGACGATGCTGGAATTTTAATGAAAATATTTAAGTAATTGGTTCTTAATGAGATTATTGTAGTTTTTAAAGGGTTTTTATTTTCTTTTTTATCTATTAGTCTTTAAGATAGAATCCTAATTGCTTTTTAAGGATAAAAAATAATATCAAATTATCCTATAAATTAGCCTGTCTGATATTTAAGATAATAAAGTTGAAAATGTACTGATAAAAAGGAATATAGAGCCTTAAGCTGATTGCCATCCGAAAATGGAGGAATCAAAATTTAATCTTGACTATTATGGGACCCCCCAAGCTATTTATAAAAATTTAAAACCCCCGAATTACACAGTCTTTTCGAAAATAATTATGAAAAAAGCTTACCTCCTGTCCGCCGTAGGGGATGTACAGGCACTGGTGCGAGGGATGGACCTTGCCGGGGGTGAGACTGCCCTGGAAATAGCCACGTCCTATGAACAGAGCCTCTCCATCTGCGGTCTGGCCGACGCGCAGGGCGAAGGGGGGCACTTCGCCGCCACTGGCCGGCACCCAGGAGAAGTGGTCGCCGGTGAGGACCTCGTAGTCGTGCTTGCTGATCTCCTGGCCACCCCAGGCCACGTAGGCCTGCTGCTTGTTGGGCACCACCTTGGCGGGCAGCAGCTCTCCATTGTGGTAGGCACGTCCCACAAAGATGGGATCCTGATCCGAATCATGGCCACCCAGGACGGCGCCACCGGGCAGACCTCCATAGACATTGCTGCTAATCCAAACGTAGTCTAAAGGACAAAAAAATAGACAAAGGTTAGTTAAGAATATCCACATATTTTTTTTTTGGGCCGCAACTGTACCCATTAATCACTAGCCAAGTCTGTATATATTTTAGCTATTATCTTTCGAGGAGATTAAGCTGGAAAGCTACCAAAGCTTCAAGGGATTTCAACTGTCAAGTTAACTGGCAAATATCGATGATACTTTAACACTTGTCACGGCTAATGATGTCACAATGGTGTTCACAGGAATCTCAAATTTACTTTGTCACACCTCGACTCTCCTGTTGCTTTTCTCACCTGTCATGTTGTGTTTGATTTGGGTTCGGAATGTAGTTCTATATAAAATAAAATATATGTGTAGATCCGCTCGGCTTGGAGTGAATTTAACAACTGGGGTTTGAATGCGGAGCTAGTTGTCTTTAAAGCTGTTTTTTTTTCTCCTTATCAGTCGACAATGCTCGGCAAACCTACTTTTGATAAGATATCTTAGTCACAGTCACTCTTCTATATATATAATTTATATATTTTTTGTCTGTGGGGTTTATTGTTTGTTGCCATCAGACAGTTGGTAATTTTGTCACTTCAACAGGTGTAAGTTAATGTAAAAAGAATTTCAATTGCCAGTGAAAACAGGAAGTTAAAAAGTATTTCTGCATCCATTTGTTTTTGAAAAACATATATGGGGGGGTTCTATTTTTTTTATCTATGAGCTATTACCCGGCAATCTTATCGCCGGTAGTCAAAAATATACCTGATCAATAAGTTCCCAGAAAGGCATGTACATAGGTACAAGCATTTATATGCCTGTCGGTGGATCAACAAGAACTTTGTTCTAGAAGGAAAAATAAGTCCATACATGAGGTCGGTTAATGCAACTTATTTTTATTATCTATTTATGAAATGAGTCTTTAAATATGTGAGTGTGAGACTGAGAAATGTGACCAATGTTTATTATTCATTTAAAGATATATCAATTTCATGTTTTTCTTAAAAAAAAATATATTATTAACCACTTGATTTCTGCCTCATTTTCAATTGTATGATTATTGGTTTAATCAGGGGGATTTTTTTTTGGCAATCGGTAGGCGTCATTTAGTTTATGGGTTCATTAAAATGGGGTTCCACCTGCGTGGCGTGGCCAAAAACAAAATTGGTTTTCATCTGAAACAAAGCCACCTGGTTTCCAATGAGTTCCCTGCTCCCTCAGGTAATGACTCATAGCTCTACTGATAATCAAAGGGAATGAGTGTTTTTGTTTTTGTACTGAAGCTTTTGGATTGATAAAATGACTGAAATGAGTGGCAAACAGCGATATCTTCAAATATTACCATTGGCATATCAATAGTGCATATATACAAGTGTAGGTCCTTATCTAAAAGCTCGATGACGAATCGTTGCGATTCAGTTTTTAACACAGAGTTCTAGGGTAAAAATATTTTAGTCCACAAACGAACTTCGATCTGTGCAGTCGTACTGATTGTTAAAATATTATTTAAAAAAATAAATACACAACGAGCTTTTATTCTTAAAATTAATCACAATGGGTGAGTAGCATGAGTAACCCTCGAAAAGTGTTAAAAAAATTAAAATATAATGTGTACTTGGAGTAAAAATGAGTTATTTTTTGAAATTATCATCATATTCTGCAAAATCTTATCAGTCAGGTGTACTTATTGGTCTTAAAAAAAAAAAAAAAAAAACAAAAACCAAAAAAGGAATGTAAAAAAATTAACTTAAAAAGTAAATTCTTTAAAGTTTACTTTTAGGCACTCAAGCTATTGAGTTAAGAATTTAAAGAAAAACTTAAAAAGTTTTAAAAAAAGAAAAAGTGTTGAGTGAAAAACTGAGTGACCTCTTTGCACTTTTCCAGGCACCGTGCAATCAGGAGCAGTTGTGACCGTTGGTAGGACGATTACAGTGAAACCCCCCTAACAACTCTACTTAAAATAGAAAGATTATAAAGCTATATCGGTCATCAAAGTAATTTGTTGAAAATAAAGTATAAATTTTATTTTTTTTGATTAAAAATAATCAGATAAGTCCTATTTCCTTTTAATACTAATTTTTTCCATTAATGATAGTTATGTTGATTACTAACTTTTGTTTAAAACTTAAAATCTTATCAATATTTTAATATATTTGTGATAACAGCATGAATCATGAAAACTAATCCTTAATAATACCAATGATAAGTTAAAATTTTATCATATTGATGACCGATACGTGTCTGTTTCTCTCTGTATATTAGCTGCCAAGCTCATCCTCCGTCCATCTGGTCCTCTCTCCTTGCAGAACACACCTGGGTGCACTCGTCCCCCCACGCCCCCCTGCCCCCCTACGCGGTAATCGGCGGCTATGATGCGGACCGCTCACCCATCTATGTGGGTCGATCCTTTCACGAGGGCGAGAACCTGCCGGCCAAGGTCATACCGAGCAAGGGATGCGCCTACGTGGCCTATGGCGGTGCCGAGCACGCCAAGCACCACTACGAGGTGCTGGTGGGTCAGGGATTTGCCTGGGTGCCCAGTGCCAGTGGCGGTGTGCCACCGAATGCGGTGCGTAGCGGCACCACCCGCACCGGCGAGCCCCTCTACGTGGGACGCGGCCATCACGCCGGAAGCCAAACTGTCGGGAAGGTTCATCCCTCACACGGATGCCTCTATATTCCCTTTGGCGGCCAGGAGGTGCGCATCAACACGTACGAGGTGCTGATCTATCAGCGCCACGACACCTGGGTGGCTGCCTCGCCCGGATATATGCCTCCCGGGGCCGTGGTTGCCGGACACGACTCCGACCGGACACCCATCTACGCCGGACGGGCGCTGCACGAGGGCGAAATGCTTCCCGCCAAGGTGGTGCCCAGCAAAGGATGCGCCTACGTCTGCTACGGTGGCTACGAGATCCAAAAGTACAACTACGAGGTTCTCACTGGACATGGATATATGTGGGCTCGTTCCGGACATCATATTCCTCCAAATGCCGTCACTACCGGACGGGCTCGGAACGGAGAGATCTTGTACTATGGACGTGGTCACTATCAGGGCAGTCTGACTCCGGGTCTGGTCTCTGCCAGCCAGAGGTGTCTGTACATTCCGTACGGAAATCGGGAGATTCGTATCAACGACTACGAGATCCTTATTCGTCAGTGAGATGGAAGAAAGGATTTCCAAGCCATAACCATAATGCATTTGTCCTAGCCGAGATCAAAGATTGTAATTAAAACTGAAAAACCCAATAAAATGACTGTTAATTCCTATATAACCCTAATACTTTTGTTTATTTGTTCAATGATACTTCCGTACTTTTTAATCCAACCTCGCTAATCTATAACCTCTCGTATAATTTATGATTTTTGATAAGAAATAATCTGTGTGAAAGACTATAACCCTACTAACCTATTACTTCTCCCTTTCAGCCTACAAATGGGTGCAATCCTCGGCCTACAGTTCCATTCCCCCGGAGGCAGTGGTGGGCGGGAATGATGAGGACGGCGCCATGATCTACGTGGGAAGGGCGGAGCACGAGGGCGACATGCTCGTCTGCAAGGTGGTGCCCACCAAACAGCTCGGATTCATCTCCCAGCGCGGCGAGGCTCTTCCCAAGGACATCTTCGAGGTCCTGTGCGGTCAGAATCTGGCCTGGATCAAGTGCTACGACCATGTGATACCCGAGAATGCGGTACTCTGCGGACGCACCTCCCTCGACCAGCCGGTCTACATCGGCCGGGGGCACTACGAGGGGCATCTGATCATCGGAAAGATCTCCTCCGTGCATCGATGTCTCTTCATTGCGTACCGTGGAGCGGAAAGACGTTTGGATTCCTATGAGATTCTGGTGGAGGAGCGACGTGTGGTGGCCGGATGGAGTCTGCCTCCTCCGCCACCGCTAGAGGAGCCTGAAAAGTGTCCACTCACCCCACCGCCACCTCCCTCGCCACCGGCACCGGCTCCTCCAGTGGCCCTCAAGCCATATCCTTACCCAGACCTGGCTGCAATGCCATTTCCAGTGACGGACAGACCTCCGGCTTACACTCCTACACCGGATCCCATGCCGCCGGCCGGAGGAGTTCTGGTAATGCCACGCCCGCAGCCCACACCACCCGTGGGAGGAGTTCTGGTGATGCCGCCGCCACCGCCCAAACCTCTACCGACTCCGCCGCCTCCACCCCCGCCAGTAGCTGTCACTCCGGCGACGGTGTCTGTGGCCCCTTCATTTTCAGCTGTTCCTGCATCAGTGAGTGCCGTTGCCGTGCCCGTGGCAGGAGCTTCCTACACCCCTGCTGCCACCTATAATCCCTATGATGATGGCTGCTCTGGCTACACCCCGGCGGAATATGCCGGATCCTCGGGCTACGAGGTCTACGGCTATGGAAACAACTACGATGTTTGGGTTTCGGCAGAGCCGGGCTACGGTTTTCCCCAGGATGCCGTAGTCGGAGGCCACGACACCAACATGGCCCAGCTCCTGGTCTGTCGCGGTTACTACCGGGGTGTCCATGTTCCGGGCAAGGCGATTCCCAGCATGGGTTGCGCCTTCATAGCCCATGGAGGACGTGAGATTATGGAGTCCTCCTACCAAGTCCTCGTGGGACAAGGAAAATACCATTGGGTTCCTGGATATTCCGGAAGTATTCCTCAAGGAGCTGTAGTGGCCGGCAGATCCCCCCTAGGAGAGCCTTTGTACATTGGCCGGGGACACTACCGGGGCAGCTTGACCCCCGGAGTGGTAGAGCCCTCGAACCGATGCCTGCAGATTCCATTCCACGGCAACGAGATCCGGCTGAGTAGCTACGAGGTTTTGGTCCGGAGTGACATGTTTCACAGGCAGCAGGCCATTAGTTTGGTTTATTAAAGATGAAGGATTAAGGGATGTAGGTAAGAGCTGTATACGAAAGCCTACAAGGAATAATCCTAATATAATCCTGAAAACTCTGAAAAAAACACAACATGTACCTCCAAGCACTGAAAGTCATCATGTATTCCAAAATTTGTATATTTAAGGATATTATTTAACCAAAGAAACTATTTATGAGCAGCTACCTCTTTAAAAAACCCAAGTTTATGAAATATATAATGCTTATTTATGAAAAAATATTTAAACCAAAAACCTGTCCATTTTTTAGCACCAATTATATTTAAGCACATTTTCAAGTATTCTATTAATTAATAAAGTTTACTTAAAAATTGTATAATATTATTTTATAAACGAGTCTAATGAGTTTTCTACGCACTAATTATAATTATACACCTTCGTTTTCTTAAAAATTATACTTCATTTTAATGATACACCTGTTGTATAATATGTGGGTTGACTAATAAATGACTTGCATAAAGTAATCTTTTGTTTTTGTTTCTTATACCATGATAGTGTTAGTATAATAGTCTATAAACTGCATCTTGGAGATTTCCATATTTAAACAAAAAATAAGAATAGATATTCAAGTTGTCTGAGGAAGAAAATGACAACATTGTAACATTAAGTCTGAGATTTTAATAAAAACCATTATTGGCAATTATAATTATTTTGATATTTCCTATTAAATTTTTTCACAGAGCCCTATTATTTTGGAATAATATAGACAGTGAATAACTAGATCAAGAAACAATAGTCTAATTAAAAAATAATTAAATAAAAAGAAACGTGATTGTCACAGAATTTTATTTCAAAACCCTAAGCCATTGTTTTCTTCCGCTTTTGATGAGAAATTACATTTAGTAGATCTTTTAAAAGATATTTCAGAGTTATATGTACCACTAAGGCCACTATAAAATTGTATCACGTCAGATATTAAAAGGTAATTTCAAGACCGGATTTCAAAAAATGTTTGTATTTTCCGCAAGAACTATTAACATGTGGAGGAGACTTCCTTGAACCCCGGCTTTGGGTTTATGGACTTATGGATAAGCGTAGACCAGACCGGCATAACCCACAAGCCTATCCGTTATTGGTCAACGTCGAAACTAGATTTAAGTGAACACATTCTGGTTTTTTTCTTCCAATTCCACTTCCACATCCTAACGTCAATAGAAAAGATGAAAGAATCTCGGGGGAAAAAAATCTAGGTAAGAAAAGTAAATAACGACAATGTGTGCGTCATGAGTTTTTGTTTGTTTTATTTAAATGCACTGAAATAAATAAAAATCAATAATATACCCGAAGACATTACTGATATGTGAGTCAATAAAAATGTCAAAAGTTAAACCAGATTGTTGAAAAAGTGTCTTTCAGATAAAGAGCTCGAAAACCCAAACAAAACTGTTTTTCAAGTCTGATTGAAATTATTTCCCACGTTTATCAATTGATTTTGAAATTCATATATAGGTTCTGGCTAATTCCAGATAGGAGAAGTGGCCAAATCTTGACTATTATTTCATCACCAGATGTCTAATTTTCAAGTACCCGCCCAGGCTTTTATTATTGTTTCCAGTAACCTTGTCTAAATTGGCCACAATTTGCAAGAGAAACCAAACTCTGTTTGCTGTTTGATATAGACGGCAATATATATTCTATTTTATTGTGATTATGGCCCATAAGAGAGCTTACATGTTGGAGATTAGATTGGCCAGGAGTGGGCTTGGACCCTTTGGAATATTATGGGGAAATTGTGAAATAACTCTGGGCGTAAATAATACCGATTGATTATTTTTAGAATCTTTGATATTGGCAAAGGAAGTCAAAGTCAGACACGTTTTTTTTTTGCTCCGGTATTCCACCTGAGCACACCTGAGCTGTGGCATGAATCACGGCTTTCGCACGCGATGCAGATACAGATTTCTTCTCGGTTAGTCCCCCGATCTCTTGGAGATTTCTGCTTAAAAACCCCTCTCACAAGGGGAAAACCACGCGACGTTTACGTCTTGTTTGGAAGGCTTAGACCGAAAGATACTCTCTCTCTACGTAGATACAGATACATGTGGGTTGTAGTACGAGGGATATACCGGTTATAGCACTGATAACAAAACTGTTTGGCGTCGTTACGACTTGAATCGATTCGGTCTCGGCTATCTAATCAGTCTAATCTGCATAGACTATATGGACCCGCTATTTCGAATGTTTTTCAAAAATTTTATTTTTTTGTTTTTTTTTCGCAGGAAGATCAACAAATTGGCGTAAGAAGGCGGTTATGGTTACCAGGGGGACACCCGATTATACGATCGGGTTTTTATTGCACTCTTGCCTGAAATGCCGATGTCGGGCAGAAAAGAGACCCAAGACCCGAGGAGATCTGAAGCTGAAACCGAGTTATCTTGTTAACTTGTTCAGCAATTGGTTGTCCAGTTCAGATCGCGCATTCGCGGCCAACAGACGTAGTGGCCGGAAAAAAAAGGGAACTAAAATCGAAAAATCATATCCCATCGACGCGTTCTATTCTATTAGTTAATCAAATAATATTTTCAAGTGACCGAATAAATTCGGCACGTGCTGAGTAAGTGCTCAATATTTATAAAAAAAAAATCAAAAATAAAAAAGTGTATCAATCAGTTATCGGAAAGAATTTCAAGTGTTTTTTGTGGAACAACAACGATCTTTAATCAATTGCATTGTGGCTTTCCCATTTCAATTAATTTATTCATTTATGTACACTTTTTCCTCACATTCTCGCAATCGAACTAATTTCCTTAAATTGACTTGAGAAACAACAATGATAATAACAATAATCCAGCCCTTTGCATCTAGTTCTCCAGTTCTACAATGTATTCTGTTTAATCATACAATTTTTATGTAATGAATTGTAAATTCAAAGAGATATCTACTTTCATTAACAAGTACTTAAGTGTGATAAATGGTGCAATAATCGGTTGCATTAGCTACTGTAATGGTTTAGTTATTACGTTAGAGATTCATTCTAAAAGTTAATTATCATAAAGACAAGTGCTATAGAATAGCACTGGAATTTTATTTCAAAAACGTGTATAATTGAGAATAGGTAGTATAATCTCCTTTTTAAATCCAATAACTTTCCTTTGTTATAGAGTCCATTGACCTGCTCAACAGAATCATAACTTTAAGCTAGTTGTCTGAGTTTTATGGCCAACAATTTTGAAAGATAAAGAGCCTCAAGTTTAGTGGAAGTGTTTTGCCTTTTGGTTCAATTATTTAAATGGCAGTCGTTGAATTAATTACAGACCCCCAATTTAAAGCCAAGATATCAGGTTTATAACTTACGGCTTATTTATATTATAGGCTTAAGTAGAGGAATACCATAACCTCAGAGCACAATGCCCAAAAAGGAGGAATCACAGCTGCCCCAGGCTGGGGACTTCCAGGAAGGATCAGCGCCTGTTGATAATCAAAAGAAATACAATTATTTCGATTTGGTAAGTGGTTTACAATGTCTTATTAAAGAATAAAGTTTTAATTTAAGATTATTTGAACATCCAGTTCAGATACTCGACTGTCTGCGAACGCATCACCTTCGTAATCAGTCTCCTGGTGGGAACCTGCGCCTCTGTATTTATTCCGTATTTTATGATCATCTACGGAGAGTTCACATCTCTGCTGGTGGATAGAACTGTGGGAGTGGGCACCTCCTCACCCACATTCGCTCTGGCCCTGTTTGGCGGTGGCCGACAATTGTGAGTCCAAGGATAACGAGGAAATAAGGATTCCCTATTAATATCCTCTTTTTTCAGAACAAATGCCTCGAAGGAGGAGAACAGGGAGGCCATCATCGAGGACTCTATAGCCTTTGGAGTGGGCAGCTTAGTGGGTTCAGTGGCCATGTTCCTGCTCATCACCGTGGCCATTGACTTGTCCAACCGGGTGGCCCTAAACCAGATCAATAGGATCAGGAAACTCTTCCTGGAGGCTATGCTGCGCCAGGACATTGCCTGGTACGACACCAGTTCGGGCTCCAATTTCGCCAGCAAAATGACAGAGTGAGTAATTAATTATTATTTTAATTATAATTTAGTTTGTAGTCAGTAATGAATTCAGTGCAATTATAGTGCTGGTAATTGCATGCTTATTATCGCAAAATTAGCATATTGAATATGATTTGTAGATTTGTTCATTTCTTACATAAGAACCGTATCTAGATTTATTCTTCAGGTGTTACTAGGACTAACTAATTAACTAAACCCCATTTCCTATTCTAAACAGAGATCTGGACAAGCTGAAGGAGGGCATTGGCGAGAAGGTGGTCATTCTGATCTTCCTCTGCATGACCTTTGTGATTGGCATCGTGTCCGCCTTCGTCTACGGCTGGAAACTCACCCTGGTGGTGCTCAGCTGTGTGCCCTTCATCATCGCCGCCACCAGTGTGGTGGCCAAGTTCCAGGGCTCCCTGGCCGAGAAGGAACTGAAGGCCTACTCCGACGCAGCCAATGTGGCCGAGGAGGTCTTCAGTGGCATCCGCACCGTTTTCGCCTTCAGTGGCCAGGAGAAGGAGAATGCCCGCTACGGAAAGCTTCTCATTCCGGCAGAGAAGACTGGTCGCAAGAAGGGCCTGTACTCCGGACTGGGTAACGCCATATCCTGGCTGATCATCTACCTCTGCATGGCTCTGGCCATTTGGTACGGTGTCACTCTAATCCTGGATGAGAGAGACCTGCCGGATCGGGTCTACACCCCCGCCGTGCTGGTCATCGTACTGTTTGCGGTGATTATGGGTGCCCAGAACCTGGGCTTCGCCTCGCCCCATGTGGAGGCCATTGCTGTGGCTACGGCGGCGGGTCAGACCCTATTCAACATCATCGATCGCCAATCGCTGGTGGACCCCATGGAGGAGAAGGGAGTGAAGCCAGAAGAACCTAAAGGTCATATCCGATTCGAGAACATTCGCTTCCGTTACCCCGCCCGTCCGGATGTGGAGATCCTGAAGGGCCTGTCGGTGGACGTACTTCCCGGACAGACTGTGGCCTTTGTGGGCGCCTCGGGGTGTGGCAAGAGCACTCTCATCCAGCTGATGCAGCGATTCTACGACCCGGAAGCCGGTAACGTAAAACTGGATGGACGGGATCTGCGCACCCTGAACGTTGGCTGGCTGAGGTCTCAGATTGGAGTGGTGGGCCAGGAACCGGTTCTCTTCGCCACCACCATTGGCGAGAACATACGCTACGGACGTCCGGATGCCACTCAGGGCGATATCGAGAAGGCAGCCAGGGCGGCCAACTGCCATGATTTCATATCCAAGCTGCCCAAGGGCTACGACACCCAGGTGGGTGAGAAGGGCGCCCAGATCTCCGGCGGCCAGAAACAGCGCGTTGCCATTGCGAGGGCCCTGGTGAGGAATCCCAAGATCCTGCTTCTGGACGAAGCCACCTCCGCCCTGGATCCCACCTCGGAAAAGCGTGTGCAAAGCGCCCTGGAACTGGCCAGTCAAGGACCCACCACATTGGTGGTAGCCCATCGACTGTCCACCATCACTAATTCGGACAAGATTGTCTTCCTGAAGGACGGCGTGGTGGCCGAACAGGGCACCCACGAGGAGCTAATGGAACAGCGGGGTCTCTACTGCGAGCTGGTGAACATAACTCGCCGCAAGGAGGCCACCGAGGCGGACGAGGTCGGAGCCGGGGCGGCTGCTGGCGGGGAGCGGCCACTGCAGAAGTCGCAGAACCTGTCTGACGAGGAATCGGACGAGGAGTCCGAAGAGGACGAGGAGGTGGATGAGGAGCCGGGTCTGCAGACCGGTAGCAGTCGGGACAGTGGATTCAGGGCCAGCACGCGCCATAAACGTAAGTTCTAAATACACTGAGGAAAATAGTCGAACCCTAATGAATTACAATATTAATCCAAATAATCCTTTACTCTTGCAGGACCCTCGCAGCGTCGCAAGAAGAAGAAGGCCAAGAAACCCCCAGCACCTAAGGTATCCTTCACCCAACTGATGAAACTCAACTCCCCGGAATGGCGCTTCATAGTGGTGGGCAGTGTGGCCTCCGTAATGCACGGAGCCACCTTTCCCCTGTGGGGTCTCTTCTTTGGCGACTTCTTCGGCGTTCTCTCCAATGGCGACGATGACGAGGTGCGTCGCCAGGTGCTCAACATATCGATGATCTTTGTGGGTATTGGTCTGATGGCCGGACTGGGAAACATGCTCCAGACCTACATGTTCACCACGGCCGGAGTGAAGATGACAACGCGTCTGAGGAAGCGGGCATTCGGAACTATCGTGTCCCAGGATATTGCATACTTTGATGACGAAAAGAACTCCGTGGGAGCCTTGTGCTCCCGACTGGCCAGTGATTGCTCCAATGTCCAAGGAGTAAGTTTGGAGGAGGTCTTTAAAGTGGATGTCCTATTTACGATTTATATTTCTTAGGCAACTGGAGCTCGTGTCGGAACCATGTTACAGGCCGTGGCCACTTTGGTGGTAGGCATGGTGGTGGGATTTGTCTTCTCCTGGCAGCAGACCCTTCTCACCCTGGTCACCCTTCCTCTGGTCTGTCTGTCCGTCTACCTGGAGGGTCGTTTCATCATGAAAAGCGCCCAGAAGGCCAAGGCCGCCGTGGAGGAGGCTTCCCAGGTGGCCGTGGAAGCCATCACCAACATTCGCACTGTGAACGGCTTGGGCCTGGAGCGACAGGTCCTGGATCAGTACGTCCAACAAATCGATCGTGTGGACTCTGCCTGCAGGCGTAAGGTTCGATTCCGTGGCCTGGTATTCGCTCTGGGACAGGCGGCTCCCTTCCTGGCCTACGGTATCTCCATGTACTACGGAGGCATTCTGGTGGCCGACGACAAAATGGACTACGAGGACATCATCAAGGTGGCGGAGGCTCTGATCTTCGGCTCCTGGATGTTGGGTCAGGCCCTGGCCTATGCTCCGAATGTGAATGATGCCATCCTGTCCGCCGGTCGCTTGATGGAGCTCTTCCAGAAAACTTCCCTGCAACCCAATCCGCCACAAAGTCCTTACAATACAGTAGAGGTGAGTCCTGAAACCTTTCTCGTTTAAAAATAAAGGACTAACAAATATATATCTTCCTTGACAGAAATCTGAAGGCGATATTGTGTACGAAAACGTCGGCTTTGAGTATCCCACTCGCAAGGGTACTCCCATCCTGTCGGGCCTGAATCTAACCATCAAGAAATCCACGACGGTGGCTCTGGTGGGTCCTTCAGGCTCTGGAAAGTCCACTTGTGTCCAGCTGCTCCTCCGCTACTACGATCCTGTCTCGGGATCGGTGAACCTTAGCGGAGTGCCCAGCACAGACTTCCCACTGGATACATTGCGCTCCAAGCTGGGATTAGTTTCCCAGGAGCCGGTGCTCTTCGATCGAACGATTGCCGAGAATATCGCCTATGGTAACAATTTCCGGGACGATGTGTCCATGCAGGAGATCATCGAGGCGGCCAAGAAGTCAAATATCCACAACTTCGTGAGTGCCCTGCCCCAGGGCTATGACACTCGCCTGGGCAAGACCTCCCAGCTTTCCGGTGGCCAGAAACAGCGCATTGCCATTGCCCGGGCGCTGGTTAGGAATCCCAAGATTCTGGTCCTGGACGAAGCCACCTCCGCCCTGGACTTGGAGAGCGAAAAGGTGGTGCAACAGGCTCTGGACGAGGCCCGTTCCGGACGAACTTGCCTGACAATCGCCCATCGGTTGACCACCGTCCGAAATGCGGATCTCATTTGCGTCTTCAAACGGGGCGTGGTCGTGGAGCACGGCACCCACGATGAGCTGATGGCCCTCAACGGAATCTACGCCAATCTCTACCTGATGCAGCAGGTGGCCGGCTAAAACCAAAGCCTTTACGGGGAGGTACTTTAAGGATTTTAATTTAGTATGTACACTAGGCTAGTAGACAAAAATAAAAAAGTATTACGAATGAAATATAAAAGATATTTTGGCCACGACTCAGAGGCGGCTGTCCACGAGAGGGCCTGGGTTGGCCAGGGCGTTGCGGCGCTCCTGAATGGCGAAGGTTAGCTTCCGGAAGGGACCCAGTGGCAGGCCCAGAGACTTGAGGTCCGCCTCGGTGAGCAACATCAGGGTTTCCAGATCGATCTCTTGCTTTTGGAATCTACAAAAGGGTGGTCACATGCTATTATTTTCATAACTCAAAAGCTGAGAAGGATTACTCACACTGGCAAGTACTCCTCCAGAGCCCAAACAGCCAGGAATCGTTGCAGGGCACTGGCTGCATCCTCGCCATCGTCCTCATCCTCGTCACTGTAAATGTCATGGCCACCGCCCTCGGAATCTGTGTCATCGGAAAGGTTCAGGTACAGGCGGTTTTTGCTGCCAGCGGAGCGCGTCTTGGAAGGATTACTGCCAGCTGGGCCGGAGTTCCGCATCGTGGAGGTGGAGCTGGTGTCCGTGTGGAGCTGCAGCTGGCTGAGAGCGGCGGTCACCGAGCGTCGGAAGGCAATGCTGCCCAACATGGTGGGTCGATCAAAGAGGCCGAGGGGTCGCTGGAGAGTTAGTTCCTCGCTCAGTTCCTGGCTCAACTGGCCATCGCCCAGGATGTCGGGCTGCGAGAAGGACCTTGCCAATGTCGAGCTATAGCCACTCCGGCTGTCGCTATGATCCTGATCCTGTTCTCCCTCCAGGCATTCAAATACATCCGTGATCTTGCCCCGCTTTCCGATGTTCTCCTCGTTAGAGCTGAAAGTGCCCACGTACAGGACCTCCGAATCGCGCTGGAGTCCGGTCAAGGAAGTGATTGTCCTCTTGCCGTCCGGCTCCACCTCTCGCACTTTGAATCCTCCCTGGTCTTGATCTCCTCCAGACATCTTTGCATGGGGGCACGAGCTGGTGTGCTGTTGTTGCTTTTGGAGATGGGATGGCCGCTTTTGGACCGTTCCTGCTCGACTGGCGATGGTGGAGCCGCCACTGCTGCTGCTTCCACTGCCCACCAGGTCACTAAATTTCGTGGGTGCCGGCGGAGGAGGTGTCTCCTTGGGCGCCTTGTTGAGATTGCCCTGGCTGGACCAGATCTTCTGCTTGAGGGTGGAGAGCATGTTTCCGGATTTGCTAATCGGTGGACTGACATCACAATAGTCCGGATCAGGGTGCTGCTGCTGGGTCCTCTTCATGTATTCACGGACGCGTTTCTCGCAGTTTTTCTCCGCCAGTTCTTTTAGGGATTTCGCCTTTTTCCTGAAAGATAATTAATTTTAATTTTAAATTAAAAAATATGTAAATTAAATAAATATCTCACTTTTCATTGGCCTCGAAATTGGCTGTGGCCACATCCAAATAGCGCAGGATCTCATCCCTTCCGTTGATGGCTGCCAGGTCCTTGGCACTGTGCTTGTCAATGTCCAGGGCATATATGTTCACCCCGAACTTGACCAGAAAGTCGACACAGTGCAAATGACCCTTGGCCGAGGCCAGGTGGAGGGCTGTGTTTCCAAACTGATCGCATTTATCAGGGTCACCCCTATTAAACGAAATACATTGTGTAAAGAAAGGGGTAGTTTTAAGGGTAAAACCATTACAAACACCATTACTTACCCCCTTCCGCAGAGCAAACGCAAGGCATCCAGTCGTCCTTCGAAGGCTGCCCACATGACCGGCGTCATCGAATCATTATCCTTGGCATTTGTGTCCTTGCGAGTGGCCGAAGCCAGCACATCCAGTAGCCCGTCTTTGGCGGCTCTGTAGAAACAGATCCGCAGAATTAATGAGTCTTGTGCATTCCAAAAGCGATAAGATAGAAGGAAATTAATTGCATGTTGTACTACTCACTTGTGAAACCGATCCGAAGACATTCTTGCGGAAACTCTTTTCAGGTCTTTCTATTTTTTTTTTCTATTGTTTGTTAACTGGCTATCAAGCAGGCGATGGAAATTCTCGAATCGAACTGTAAAGGAATCCAAGATCCCACATGAATAGGTTTTTCATTCTACTTGACACATCCTCGGAGCTCAGATCTCTCAGAATACAAATTCCCACAAAACACAAAAATTTTAACTAATACATTGTATAGAAATCAATGTCTCTGGAGAAGTTGGAAAAGTAAAAGGACCAATCGCAGATCGCTAAGCCGAATACAGTGGACCTCTTGACCAAGGACTTGGCCAAGAATCTCGACTTAAGGAAGAAGAAGGTTCCTCAACTGGAAGAGGTACTCCTATCCAATCGATTTCTCGTGTGGCCCAAATGGGGATCAAGAACCTGAAAGTATCGAGGCACAAGGTAGTGCGCAAGCCCATGATGTCCTGGCTTCATGCAAAGTCTCCAAAGTCTCGCCGGTGGTTCGAGGACAATGTGATGAACAACAATGATATATGCACCGTGAAGAAAGCTAAGGATATAGTCAAGGATATGCAAGAGGCAATTAATGCTCGTGGACTGAAGATTTTGCTTGGTCGTGTCAACTCTGATGATGTTAACGTTAACGAACTGGCCAGCTACGTGGAAAATATGCTGACCATTCCCAAGAAAATGTCGGCCATGGCTGAGAACATGTATCTTTGAGTTATTCGATTTAATCATTGTATATTTTTCATAAGACTTGTTGGTGGAATATATGTTTGGCATGGAAATGTATAAAAAAAACGTTCCAAATAGGGTCAGAAGCTTTCATAGTTTAGTATTCTTTTTGAAAGGGTTCAGAAGTGTTACCAATTGGGAAAGGAATTTTAATTTGTTCATCTTTGTGGTGGATATTTTATATGTAATTATATTACATTTTATAAGATACCAGCCATATTTTTAGATCCTTTATCCTAAGTTGGCTATAAGCTTTATGTCATATTTCTTCATATTTTTTTATTTAGCTGATTTAATACAAGTTGATATTATCAACGATGTTTCTTTGGATTACAATGATATACTCAAATATTTTAATACTTTTAATGTTTATTTTTTATACCAAATTTGTTATTATTTTCCTGAGAGTTAAATATCTTTCAATTTCAATTTTCTGATATTTATTTTAGTGCATTTTTTCTTTAAATATTTGAGTACAAAACTACAATTTCCAATTACAATTTGAAACTATATTTTATTTAATTTCTTTTTGGATGTCTTTCAGCCGCATTTTTATCTTGATTTACCATTTTTGAAAGTATCTCACTCAAATTTTCACACGTTTTTAATATACTAATCCAAACAGAAAATATAATAAAAGAAAAAGTGTAGCTGCTACACAGACACATACAGACGCGGCCCAGAAAACATTACCCACATATGATGAGATGGCTTACTTCGTACATACATACCAACCATGCCCAACGGTCCCAGCCAAGTTCAGTCAACCTTGCTGGCTGGTTTTGAATTGCCCAAATGCCCAAAAATCCAAAAATCGAGGCAGTCAACCATTTACCACGGATACACACTACTTGCACACACAAAACAACACCACTAAATAAATAGATAAACAAACTTACATGAAGTTTGTTGGCCGAGTTCAAAACCACTTTTTCCATGCAGGATTTTTCCCAGCTTTTCTTGACACTTTTCTTTTTTTGTTTTTGCGAACCGAAAGTTTCCCTTGCGGGTTAATCGATCGGGAAGAATGAAATTTTTCCCGGAAGACTTTCTACTCCGACGAGTGCATGTTGCTGACTGATATTGTTAACTTGGCTCAAACTACGTCGCTCAACTACCAATGATGTTGATTCTCTCTTTCAACCAAAGCTGATTTTAGCGGTTTTTTGAATTGAAAAACTGAACTTTCAAATAATTTAATCCTGGGCTATCTAAATCTTGAAAGATTTAAAAAAAAATATTTAAATTTAAAATTTATTGCATACTTTATTCATAAAAAACATACAAGTTTAAATTTTTTGTCTGATTTTACTAAAAAAAATCGCTGATCTGGCTGGTTGTCTCTCTTTGAACCCCCTTGTCCCGCCATGCTCCAATTGGCTCCAAAAGTTATCGATTTATCGCACTGTTGGTCGGTAACCTTGTACATCGCTAGGGCAGTCACATCTCTAGGCAAGTGTTATCCCTAAGTTTCGTCCGACCCTGGTCGTCTGGCGCAAATGCAGAGAAAACAAGTGGAAAAGCAAGAGAAAAACCCTGAAAAACGCACAATATCTAAGTAAAATCGCGGAAATGTGGTGATTCATGTTACGTTTAAGTTGGCTCGCAGGTCGAAGGACAGAGTAAAATGTGAAAAAAGCACGAATTTTGGTAGTGTGATTGCTGCAGTTCTGGCTGCAATTGTGTACGGGCCAGTATATGTATATGTATAATAGTGTGCGTTTGCGTAGGAGGCACCAAAATAACAACAGCAAACGCAGTAGCAACAACAAAGAATCGGAATTACCAAAAGTCCTACCATATGCTCGATTCGTCAATCGTACGGAACGGTGACTGGAACGGGAACCCAACCGCAGTGCCAATGCCCAAAAACAGCCAATATTCCCAGTAGCAGTCATAGCAGCACATCTCAAACAGAACAGAAAACCCCGCCCGCAACACGCAGCAATTACAAATTACAACACAAAGTGTCAATCACTTTAGGATTCCAATTTTGATCATCCCAAAATCAGAGAAACCTGGAAGCCAACGCGATCTCCAGCTAGGAGTCCGGTGGAGTAGGTGGGTGTTGGAGTAAGTGGAGGAGCAGAAGCTGTGGCTAGTGGCCAGGTGACAGTTGCCATCCCCTGCCCGCACTATGGGCAATTGCCTGAAATGCTTCCAGTCTGCCGCCGAACAAACGTTGCCTCCCAACGCCGCGTCCCCAAATTCCAACTCGAACGCCTGCCCGGTGGCCACCAGTCTAGCTAACTGCTGTGACTCTGTTGGTGCCAATTCCAATGCGAACGAGCGCTGTGTGCCGCGCGGTGAGTAATTTTCAAAATCTCTCTCATTTTTTTCCCCCAAAACATCCACCAATGTCAAATAAATGAAATTTTTTTTGATTTGTTTTTCAGAAACCGATGAACTACTCTCTAGCCGAACTCCACTCAAGCCAGCAAAAGCAAACAATTGTGATACTAAGCGTAATAGTTTTAAGTCTTTGGGTTTGCTAAATGGCAGTGCACCTACCATGAGCGATATCATAACAACTGGTGAGTCAGTCGGCCAGTAGCCAGAGTGATAAGTATTTTCTGACCTAATTTCCTGTTTTTACAAAACGAAACGAACCATAAAAATAAAAATGAAAATAAAAACAGCTGTCAAGGAGTCCATGGAGGTGTCTCAACAGACCCTGAACAACCTATTCGACGTGTACAAAGATCCGGACGATGATGATATGATACTAACGGACGGTATCGAACGACTGTGCAATGACCTCAATTACCAGCCGGATGAGTTTGCCATTCTGGTGCTGGCCTGGTGTCTGGACGCCTCTCAAATGTGCCGCTTCACTAAAACGGAGTTCATCGAGGGCCTTCACAAGATGCGGGCGGATAATATCGCCAGCATCCGGTTACGGCTAGAGCAGACAATTGAAATGCTAAAGGCGGACGCTGAGATGTTCAAGCAGCTGTATCGCTTCACCTTTCGGTGGGTTATAATTTCATTTTCCTGATGAACTCAATTAATGCAATATATTTCTGGGTTTTTTGTAGGTTTGGCCTGGAGCCAGATCAGCGCGTGCTATCGCTGGAAATTGCCATTGACCTGTGGAAACTAGTGTTCACTGTACAAACACCTGATCTCTTCTCCAACTGGATACACTTCCTCGAAAAGCATCCGAATATTCGCCGCATACCGAAGGATACATGGAACATGTACCTCAACTTTACGGAACAATGTGATATACAAAATTACGACGACACGGAGGCTTGGCCCAGTCTGTTCGATGACTTTGTCGACTATGAGAAGAGCAGGGCACTGGAGTCGGCTGGCATACATGACGATGACAACAACAACGACGATCCGCTGCAGAGTCGGGTCAAGAGCGATGATTCCCGTCTGGTGTCGTAGTATAGCCGCCTTCAGTCGTTAGGGCCAAGCAACGTTCAACTCGCCAATAGAAATTAAAAAAAATGTATATTTTTCACCCCCTTCACTGTTTACTCGCTCTCTTGCTGATGCTGCTGCTTAGGTATTTTATTTTCCCGAAAAAATTCCAAAAAATATATAAGGAAAAGTAAGGAAGCAACACCCGTGACCACTGAAAATGAACGATGCGGTGCTGGCGCTGCTTGAGGACTTCCAACTGCCAAAAAAAGGCCAGCTGATATTTTGCGCCCGGCTGGAAGATTGCATCCTGGCCAACCGAAGCAATGGACGCATTTGTTTATGTAATTAAAGACTTATAGACAAGAATTTCGGAAAAAGCTCAATCATTGGTAACCGCATGTGTATATAACTAAACGACTTTAAGGCGGAGCAGTAGGCGGATCGTATAATACTTAGCAACTAATTGATGTATTATTTTAAACCAGATTGCAACATTTTATGGCACTTAACTATTTAAATGCATACAATTACATTACATACTTAATTGTAAGTAGTGGATGTGAATTCAATAAAAACCAACTGAAACAACAATGAGAAAAGGAAACTGCACTTAATGGGCACTTAGTAATGGTGTTAAAGTATGGTCTTTGTTTGAATTGCGCGGCTTGTGGCAATCATCGAAGCTATCGATAAGTGTATCGCACTCAGAGGACTTGTCTATCGCACGGCTCCCATCATTATTGTTGTTGGTGTATTGCTATATAGTCTGATAAAAATTATAAAAATCATTGCGAGCCTTGCTAACGGCGTACGCGTAACATTAATTTGGCCTCCCTGACCACGTAACTAAATACCCCACGAGGTGGAAATGATAGCAGCCTGCAGAGCGTGTCGCATCCAGTGATTCACGGCGTTGACATTGAAAAACAAATGCAATGCCAGTACAGTGGGCGTGAGCAGAAAGGAACAGGAGCGGGAGCAAGAGAGGAGGTAATCCAAGGCAGCCAGCAAGGGCAAGGATAAGGACGCGGTCGATCGAAGCAGGGCAGGTCCCAACCGGATTTCAATCATGCCGTGCGAGAGCTGCGGTGTGGAGTTCACGGTTTTTCGTCGCAAACGCGCTTGCTATGACTGCAAGTGAGTACGCACCAGAATGTCAAAATCCTGGGAATCCCCTGAATTTTTTTCGTTCTTCCCTTTTAGACGCTATTACTGTGCCAACTGCATTGCGGCCAGGCGGTGCCAGCGCTGTTCAGTGTTCGCCCAGCGTCCACTATTGCGCACGGATCTGCTGAAACTGAAGCCCAAAGATTTGATATTTTATTTGCAGTCGAAGCACATCTCCACGGAAGGATGTTTGGGTGAGTGCTTCGCAATAGTACTCTTCTTCTGCCCTACTTAAGGCCTGTTTCCTTTTAATTTCTAGAAAAAGAAGAGCTTGTGGGTCTGGTGCTGGCCCATGTGGCCCAAATGGAGCGGGGTCGCGGCTCTAATGCTTCATCCAATAGTCCGGGACGTAGCCAGACCAATCCTCTAGATAACCTCAAACAGTCGTGCCAAAATTTCTTCAGCAACCTGACCGATAACCTCAGTGACTCGTTTGCCGCATTCGATGGCAAGGTTAACGCAAAACCCCAGGAAAACCGAAGATCATCACCAGACGCGCCCAATCCCCATATTTTTGAGCAACCACGTGTTTCCACCCGGGAAATACCCACATATGCCAGCTCCGTGAACGGATTTGCGTACGAATCGCAAACCTTCTTTAGCTCAGAGCGGTTACACGTATTTACCAACGAAACACCAACACCAACCGCGACACCCAATGCCAACCGGAGCAGCAGCAGTCCCTCGACTTCCACGAAGGCCTCTTCGAACAATACCGACGCCAGCAACAGTCAGGCCCAGGGGGCCCATCACAGTCCAGAAACGACCGACGAGAACCGTGATAGCAAGTCCGATTGCGAGTGTTCGGACGACGAGATTATAGCATCGTTCAGCGAGCTCCGAACCGATACTAGTGTACGCGCCAAAGCTACGGCCGAGCCGAGCTCTTCCGATAAGCCTAAGAAAGAGGAGCCAATTCTTCCAACCGCACCCGATGCTTCCTCCCAGTCAAGTTTCGAGGAGTTGGGCGCCATCGGCGGCATTTCCGACGAAAGCAAGGCCACCACGGACACCAACAGCAGCCACCTGGATCAGTGGCAGGTGCTGGTCGTCAATCGGGTCGAGGTCCATGATGAGGAGACACCGACTCCGAGTGCTCCCGAGGAGGAGATCCTGGAGGTAACGCTTCGTAATAAGCCAGATGAGAATGCGGAAATCACCGAGACCGTGAGCATTGAGCAGCGTCCGGCCGATTCCAATCCTCTGTCTAATCCCGCCGTGCCGCAACGCACGAAGAAAGTAACGCGACGACGTTCCGATGGCTACTTGAATCGCCGCCACCATTCTAGCGATGAAGATTCTCCGATAGCGACGACTGGACTTAGCCTGGGGCTGTCCACGCTCCCCGAACAGCCGGAGGCGAGTCTGCATGTGCACGGCCATCGGCATAGTTGCCAGCGTTGTGGCAAGAACAAGACAAACATACGCCGACATGTGGAAAAGATGCGACGCCACCTGGAGAACGCGCAGATGTCGGAGGAGGACATAAAACGGGAGCTTCAGGAATTTCTCACATACCTCGAACAGCGCACCAAATCCTTGGATGCATCTGAGGCCGATAGTCATGCCGTTTCGCCACTAAGTGTGGATGGAATTAGCGTGGCAGCTGGCGGAAGGTCACCAGATATGCCTATTACGCCGACCATTGAATTCTCGCCGACACAGGACGATGACATTCGCTGGGACGATGACGAGGGCATCCATGTGTATGCCGCTCCCTCTGACTTTGAGCCTAATGCTTGCATTGATTCACGGTTTGTAAACTTGGAAGACTTTGAGGATTTGTAAGTACATAGTTCTTGATAGTAGGAACTATTATTCACCCAAACCTTGTAATTTACAGAAAAGACTTGGAGGCATTAAATGTTAAACAGCTCAAGGAGGTGCTTATGCTGCACCGCGTTGACTACAAAGGCTGCTGTGAGAAACAGGAGCTGTTGGACCGCGTCTGCAGGCTCTGGAAGACCATGCGCTCTACTCCAGGTGGGCTTTAATATTCCAAATCAACTAAACATTCTAATTCTTGTAATAATCTTTCAGCTGTGGAGAAACTTGGCACTGATGAGCTGTGCAAGATTTGCATGGATGCGCCCATTGAGTGCGTCTTCCTCGAATGCGGCCACATGGCCACCTGCACCAGTTGCGGAAAAGTGCTAAACGAGTGCCCAATTTGCCGACAATATATTGTACGTGTTGTAAGATTCTTTAGAGCATAATGGATACGGTTAAGGACAAGGTGATTGGACAGAGAAGGAGATGGTGAATGCATAGCTTTTGATGGGGGCCACCAAGCTAATCGGTGTATTCAATGATAACGTATGAGTTTCCTTAATCGATGTAAAAGTGCAACAATAATTTAAAAATTTTTATGTTTGATCCTTCAACGTAGTATGTTGCCAATATATATGCAAGTATATGTATAAATTGTACACCCAGATACCGCTTTAAAAGTGTATTTATCTAATTCAAAATGTGAAATAATTTTCTATTTATTTTGTTTGTTCATGTTGTTTGTATAAGAAAACAAAAAAAAAAAAAAAAATCGAGAGGTTATATAGATAAACTAACATTCCTATAAGCTGCTAAAGATTAAATCTGTTAATAACAGTTGTGAAAAAAAAACTCGTCTAGATGCGCATTTAAACAATAAATATTTTCAAAAATCCAGCGCCCCGTTAGGAGTACAATATTTAAGGGGTAATCCCCGGAATTCAATATCATTAGATAGGGTTTTATGATAGCTATGAGTATGAGTTTACAAGCCGATAGCTTCGTTCCTGGAAAAGTTTATTGGAGGCGCCTCCCATTTCGAAACCATTATCTTTCAATTACAACAGTCTTTATTCTGGTTAAACATTAATCTAGGAGTAGTGACCAGTGCTGGAACAGCACAATGACTAGACGGGAAATAGAGAGACGAGACGTGACGAGAGACGGATTGACCCATCCAAAGGTCAGTTTAAAATCTGTGCATGCGTAGGTCCAGGGGCGACTCTACGTCCATCTTCACGTAGAAGTCCTCGCTCGGCAGGTAGCTATGCTGTCTCTCATTCAGCCAGTAGCTGGGGGAATATTCCGCACCCGGTTTGGGCTTCAGCGAATAGTCACTCGGCTCATTGTTGGAGTCGTCCAGGTAGTAGCGGGCGGAGGCGGACGATGACGAGGAGGAGGACGTGGTGGATTCCACACTGCCGACAGCGGGCAGGCAGGTGAAGGCGGACTCGCTGCTGGCGTCCAGCAAGCAGGCGGGGGCACTGGGCAGGGTCAGGGGCTGGCTGGCGATCAGATGGATGCTGTGCTTGAAGGTCTTCACGTGCTTGCGTAGCGAGGAGGGATCTGTGTAGCGCTTCTGGCAGCCCGTGACCTTGCACATGTACGGCTTCTCCATCGAGTGGGTGCGGGTGTGCTTGAAGCGGTCCGAGGAGTTGGAGTACGCCTTCTGGCAGCCCTCGAAGCTGCACTTGTACGGCTTCTCGCCCGAGTGCGAACGGATGTGGATCTTGAGGTTCTCCGCCCGCGAGAAGGACTTGTCGCACAGGTGGCAGCGGTGGGGCTTCTCCTTGGTGTGGGTGCGGGTGTGGACGAGCATCTTGTAGCGGGCGTTGAAGCCACGATCACTGCGCTGGCATCCTCGCCAGCGGCAGTAGTAAAGTCCATCGGTGAGCGAGGCAATCGCATGCCTCTGGGTGACGTGCTGGGCCAAAGCCTCAAGTGTGTCGAAAATTCTGTAAAAAAAAAGGAAAATTTAAGGTTAATAAAATATTTTAGGATTATTTTTTATTACTAATAATTTATTTTTTTTTTATGTAATCATTTAATCTTTAAAATAATCCAAGGACTCTTACCTATCGCAGTCGAGCCAGTTGCAGACGAAATCATTGGTGGTTCCGCACTCGCTGCCGCTGCTGCAGGACTTGATATCGTCCTGCGACTCCAGGGGACTCCTGGGACACAGGTCATCCTGTTGGCTGTGCTGGGCCTTCATGATCACCGACTGGGTGCGACGATGGTGGAGCTGGTCGGCGACTGGTGAGCTGGCCAAGTGGCCGAGACCGTATCCGGCAATGGGACGCGGCGGAGTTATGGGCGGTGTGGGGAACCGAATGTGCTGCATCTGCTGTTGATTCTGATGCTCCAATAGCCAGTTACCGGAATCCGGGTAATGTGTTATATACGGCGGAGTGTTGTACGGCGTATAGTAGCCGGCTGGCGGCTCGTATATTCCTCTGTTGAAGATTGACTTTTGTACTATATCCATGGTGGGAGATTTTGGTTTAAATTGTTAAGTTATTTTAGCGTTTAAGGCTGAAATGGTTTCGCTAACGCGTTTGCCGATCGAATGAGCCGCTCGCCTCCAGGGGTTCGGGTAATATGCGAAAGTCGGCCGCTGATAAGGGCCGCCAGACGGAACGGGGGCTCTTATCAGCCCCGAAGGCTGCAGACGGATCCCGGGAGGGCGAGGCGGGCGTCGGTCGGCGGTAGTTGGTGGTCGGAACCAAAACACACACACATACACCCCAGTGGGTGTAGGGTGACTGGAGCAGGTGCGTAGTGGAAAAAAAAAAACTACTGAGGCAAATGGATTTGGGGCAAAAGCACACACTACGTGAGTGAAACTCCGTGCCAGGAGGAGTGGCGATGGGTAGGGGGAGAGCGGGGGGCTCCGGCTGACGGTCTGGGTCTGTTGTTATCAACGCACAAGTGGAAAACCAGCAAGCTAGTCCGCCAATCTCCCAGCCAGTCAGCCAGCCAGCCAGCTAACCATCCAGCCCCTACATGTGTGTGCCCGATGACCGCTCTTTGGGGGGCAAAACGTTATCGCCCGGTGCCGTCTGCTTGACTTGCACTTCGTACCGCGAAGCGAATTCCCCGCCATTTGGCCGCTGCAGCCCCCCCTCCACCTCCATCAAGTGAAACCCAACCCATACCACCCACTCGTCGCCCTCTCGTCATTGGCCCCCAGCACCGCTCCCTATGTGGAGCAGGTACGTCAACATCTGTAATTGGGCACTTATAAAAATAAATGAAATAATTTCACAAAACAACCAAGTGACATAATTCCTATAACAATAGGATTTAAGCGCTAAACTTTGTACTGCCTGCTCGGAGATTCTATCGAAGTCTCTCAACTTGCTTATTCCAATGACTAATGGTTGTTTATAAGAAAAACTGAGACAAACAACATAGAGTATTTTTTCCATTGACTTCCAAGTACTACCCATCCCCCAGTCCGGATGTAATTCGACTTTTTTGGTGAAGGCTCTTATTCAGCTCGGGGAATTTCCATCCGATTCTTGAACGGAATACCTTAAACGATTTCTGGTTCAATTCTGCTTCAATCTGCATCAAAACCTCAAAACAAAAATTTTGATCCATATTTTTCAAATTTTTACTGATGGACCCCCTTGCAAAATCCAGGAATTCCATTTTTGCCCCAAACCAAAGGCATATCTCGGGCCATTTCTATCCGATCCATGAGAGGAATACCTTAAAAGATTTCTAGTTCGATTCTGCTCCAATCTGCATCAAAATCTCAAAAGAAAAATTTCGATCCATATTTTTCAAAATTTTCTGATAGACCCCCTTGTAAAATCCAGGAATTCCATTTTAGCCCCAAACCAAGAGCATATCTCGGGCAATTTCTATCCGATCCATGAGAGGAATACCTTAAAAGATTTCTAGTTCGATTCTGCTCCAATCTGCATCAAAACCTCAAAATAAAAATTTCGATCCATATTTTTCAAAATTTTCTGATGGACCCCCTTGTGAAATCCTGGAATTCCATTTTTGCCCCAAACCAAAGGCATATCTCGGGCCATTTCTATCCGATCCATGAGAGGAATACCTTAAAAGATTTCTAGTTCGATTCTGCTCCAATCTGCATCAAAACCTCAAAATAAAAATTTCGATCCATATTTTTCAAAATTTTCTGATAGACCCCCTTGTAAAATCCAGGAATTCCATTTTTGCCCCAAACCAAAGGCATATCTCGGGCCATTTCTATCCGATCCATGAGAGGAATACCTTAAAAGATTTCTAGTTCGATTCTGCTCCAATCTGCATCAAAACCTCAAAATAAAAATTTCGATCCATATTTTTCAAAATTTTCTGATGGACCCCCTTGTAAAATCCTGGAATTCCATTTTAGCCCCAAACCAAAGGCATATCTCGGGCCATTTCTATCCGATCCATGAGAGGAATACCTTAAAAGATTTCTAGTTCGATTCTGCTTCAATCTGCATCAAAACCTCGAAACAAAAATTTCGATCCATATTTTTCAAAATGTTCTAATGGACCCCCTTGAAAAATCTAAGGTTTTCATATATTTCACATAATCAAGGCTAAATCATTCAATTCTAGAGTGGAAACCCTCAAGGGTTTGTAGATAATTTTCCATTAATCTGAAAGAAAAACCTGGGCCTTCTTAGTAAGAATTACTATTCCAATATCTTAATTAATCAAATTAATTAATCGTAGGCAAAAACTAAGACCATGGAGTAATGATTAATTTAAATGGAAATTGTGGGAATGGGTAACCTTGCGAATCACGATTTTCATTCTTGAGTTTCGTGTGGCTTTTACGTTTTTACCTCGGTGTGTGGGCGCTGCGTCTGGAGCGCCGTGGTGATAAGGTGGTTATCTCACGCCCGTGTCAACAAACGCCGCCACATGCACACACATATGTACCTACATATATGGTGGGTACGGCGTCGCGCCGTTTCATATCTTGGGGCCCCGAAAACTTCTGCGGCATGACGTGAATGGCACCGACGGGAAGCGGGAGTTGTACCGCAGCTCTGCTGGGTGCTGGCTGGTGGCTGCCGGCTGCTCCCCGGCGGTTATTATATTGTAGCACCGGCTATCGGCTTGGCTATCAGCTATCAGCATTGCTATCAGGTGGAGCTGTCTGGGCCCGTGAATCACTGACGGAGCAATGGAGCAACCTTCGCTCCACCTTCGTGACTGCCAGCCCGCCTAACCAAATCTGCAACCGCCCCGGAGCTCCACCCTCCACCCGGTCTATCGATCCGATGTAATCCCGCTGAGTGGGGTCCCGGGTACTTACGTAAAAAAAACATGACATCAGTGGCAATGATAAGCCCTTTGTGGATCCCTATCAGCTGTGTAACAGGTGGACTAGCATTGCCATTTGGAGTGCCATTTCCCAATCCTGTCCCATTCGAATCATGATTTATAAATAGATAGGGAATCAGGCCACAGATAGTACGACTTCTCTCGATCTCGGACCATGGAGTACAGTTGCGCATGGCGAGGTCAGTTCAGCGGAAACTTCCAAAGCCTGGCCTTGAATTAAGATTAAACAGATCATATTCCAAAAAAAATCAAAAAAAAAGAAGAACAGACCATAGAACCCCGAAGGACCCCAGGCGTAACCTAAATTTTTATGTTTGGCAAGCGCCTGTTGGCTATTAAATCCATCCAGAATGTTGTGGACGGGCAAAAAATCCGGATTTTCTGGTTGCCAATATGAACTTTGTATGGCGCGAGCGGCTGTTGATAAGCCGGGCCATTCCCTCTCCCTCTCCAACAACCCACCCCGGCTCCAGAACCATGACACTGTTTTCCCCCCCTCGGACATTCCCAAAGTCCAGAACCAGCCCCACAGATAAGGTCATATATATTAACAATTTTTTCTTTTTTTTTTAATAAAAGAAAAGAAAAAAAAAATTTTGTTCTATTGGGGAGCGGGAGCGTGTGCGCTTATTAATTTTCCGTGGTCTGAATCTCGGCGTAAATAAAAACAAATCCGTACGCAACTGGGCGACAGACAGTAATCGGAGCTTAGAAACCGGATCGAACCGGATGGGAAGGTGCAGGCCCGCCCGGCTGGATGATGTTCAATATTTCTATCAAATTAACAACACTCGACCGATAACCAGAGGGGTCTGGATGGCTGGCAAAGGTGGCCTGCTGGCCAGATAAGTTCTACTCTGGAATCGGAATGGGAATGGGAATGGGCAGTGATCGGCGTACGCTTGAACTGGGAATTATCATTGCGAATGCACATGATGGGGAAGGGTCCACCAGAAGACATTGGAACCCACTGGGAGCTACAATGTGCTGATATGATCGATGGCGAAAGGCTAATTACTTTGTTGCCGGTACCATCACCATCAACGCCACCGCCACCACCGACAGACATCCAAAGTCCATGTCCCATGTCCCATGCCCCCAGACCAGTCATCACACTCTGGTCTCAAGCGAGGATGTGGGCATAAGCATGCATCCAGAGCATGGAACTCCCTGGTACTTTATTACAGACTCGGATCTATTATTTATACGAGGCTTATCGCCAGACAGTCTGATATCGCCAAAAGAGGAAAAATTATTAAAGGTAAACCTGGCCCTGGTTGGTATGGGGAATAAATAATAGAGGGAGGGGAAGGGGAAGGGGGAAAGCATTCCAGACATTCGTGGGAGCCTACAGACCCCAGACCCCAGACCTTCCGGCAATGCCTCTATTTTTATACCGTTCGATGGGTGTTGCTATTTAGGAGCGATATGCTATTGTTTCAGTTACCACTGCTGATACGCCTGACAATATCTCGTCTAGACTGGGCATTATGAGAGGCACATTTTGTTGTCGTTTTTTTTGTTTTTGACTATTTTTTTTTTTTGGGTTCCACGTTTTTGGCGGAAAAGTTTCAATAGCACATCATCCAGGCAGGCGGCAACATCCAACAACAACTTAAGAAGCCGCTGGGGGCTTTTTTTTTAATATACAAATGACTGGCATTCTTGGAGGGGGTAATTCAGACCTCTGACTTATCAAAAGTTTTTAGATTTACGATAGTCTGGGCAGGAAATGGCAAAAGACTTGCCAGTGGGTGCTAACTGGAGCTGGATATAAAAATGTTTGTCTGGTTTAGAGTTAAAGTTGGAAGAATTTAAACATTATAATGTTTTTAAAAAGGAAAATATAGCTAGACAGGGGGTTATCCGATTTTTAAAAGGTAAGAATCACAAAAATGTACTCCTAGTCTTATTTAATATTTTAATATTATATTGTACCTAAAACTACTTAGCTATCACTTTTTGAACTTTAAATTATTAAAAGTAACGTATTCTTTAAAAAACCCTAAAGAATAATGGTATAGTAACCCCTACTTTCAGTGCAAGATTATTTCCCTAAAGGCCATTGCCTTTGGGCTCTTGAAAAATTTTCCCATTGGATAATGATTGCTTAATAATCCCCACACATGTAATCGATAATGATTGCCATCATTTTTAGGCACTTAAAAATTTTCCCATAACCAAAAAGTTTTGTAAAAATTTACTACCAATCACTGTGTAAACAAACCAACGCAATATAATCAATATAGTAGGTATACTAGGTATACTAGAACTCGGAATGATTCCAGGGAAATCACTTAGTGGAGGCGAAGAGGGCAATCGATCGGTGCAGTCGACCTTCACGTCTGTGGTCGATTCGCCGAACGAGATTGAGCCGTGAACGGCGAACAGCATGCGGGCGGCATGCGATCACTCCCCCAGTGGGTGAGCCCCAACCATAGGTCTTTTTTTTTTTACAATGAACGCACTATCACACACCATACCACACGGCATAATTGATACGCAGAGCACTCTGTAAACTTACTTAGGCAATAAATTTATTGTACAAAATGTTCGGTAGTTTGATTCTGCGATACGTTTAAAGTTCGCGCTCACTCGACCGCCGCATGACGTCTGAGCGGAGATCGGAGAACGGAGATTGCGTATCGCTGGAGTGGAGTGCGAGGTAGAGGTGCTGTGTCCGTGGGGTCCTCCAGTGGCGATCCCCGAAATAGACGCGCATCCAACGGCGGTGACCCCCACGCGGCCTGTGCATGTGAACCATAAATAAATGTGCTGCGGTTTAATAATAAAACAATCACATTACCCACTCAGACGAAGTGCTCCAGATGGTCGCGCATGTAGGTAACGAGCGCCTTCTCGAACAGAGGGCCCACCAGGCGGTCCACCTTCAGGTTGAAGCTAACATAGAACGGACGTTGATATCGCTTGCTTAACTTGGTGGCCAGCACCGAAGATTCCGTCTGGCCGTAGCCGCCCAGTATGGTGGTTGATAAGACATCTTTGGAGGCTGGATCACGGGAGGGCATGGCCAGTGCCAGTTCCTCTAGCACCTCCTCTTTGGAGTTCACAAACAGCAAAGTGCTTCCCGGCATTTTCAAAGCCCGCACCGTAAACTGCATGGGACCTGCATCCACTTGGGCGTAGTGCGAGGTAAAAAGCTCAGTCGGTTTGGGGGGTGAAGCCTCCTCTATAAGTACATTGGATTCTAGGACATCTACAGCTGCCATTGTGTTGGTATAAGACTTCAAGATGCTAAATAAATTGTACTTTCTTTGGAAAATATAAGTTAAAACGTAAACAATGAAATGCAGATTTTGACTTGAAATAGTTTGAGTGTTGGAAAACGTTGTTATAATAATCAGAAACTTTTGCATAATTTTTAAATAAACCAAGTGATTGGTTTGGTTTATGTATTTAACATAAATATGAATTTTAATTAATATTAGATTATAAATAGAATAAAATTCTAGGATTTTTAAAAATTAAGGCTTAGACCCCCCCAATTGGCAGCCCCGTTTTCCAGCACTGGTGTCATCCCAACCCTTCTAAGGCGGAAAATTCAAATTCTATTCCTATAATTCACAAGTTAATGAATAAAAATAATCTTTTCGCAGTGTTGGTTGCATTTATTAAGGCTCTATTTGATGTGGGCGATGTTTAATATGTTTACGTTTTTTGACGAGTTAAAATACATATGTACGATAGGTTTGTTCACAATTAGAATCAGATTTCTTCGCTCCCATCTGCACGCATCGATTGGTGTTTTGTTATTTTGTTAAATATTCATATAATTTATACGTTGTCGTTTTTGATTTGACCTACTTATTTAAATACACAATCGGGTAGTTGAAGACGGAGAGTAAATAATTCATAGATATTCGGTTAAAAGATCAGTTCCGGTTGGGTTATATTTTAAATTAAAACAAAAACAAAAATATCGAGATGAATTCACTAATTAATTATGTTCGATTTCAGTTGTTTGCTTGAAATGTCAATGATAATTTACTAATTTCGCTTGCATTCATTGATGACGGGGGTTGTTATGGGTTAAATACCGTTATTCTCATTACGTATGCGTCTATTGCGTATTATTTATTGATCGTTAGGTTGTTAGGAGAGTTCTTTGAATTTATATTGGATATCAAATAATTTTGATTAAATTTCTTTTCTTTTTTTTTTTTATGTTTCTTCTACTATAATTTGACTAAGATTTGCAACCGCGATTTCAAACTTGATCTTTATCATATCGTTTTTTTTCCTTTTTTTGTTTTTTTTTGTTAGATTTTTTATCATGTAATCATTTTCGATTTGTGAATAAATATTGGAAGTGATAAACATGTAGCGTTGTTATGCGGGACTGGTGGTGCTTCTTCTTCTTAATCCTCGTCGTCCTCGGATTCGGCCTCCTGCAGCCAGGTCAGCCAGGCATTTACTTGGAACAGAGCGGATCCTTTGCCTGGATATTTGTCGGAAATCTCCTCCTTCCACGAGACGAATGCCTCCTCCTCAATGATCTCAGATTCGTAAAGGTATTTAAACCAACGGCATAGCATTCCTGATTAAAAAAAATATTAGAATTATGTTTTTAAATAAAGGATATTAAGGATGTCTTACCTTTCGGGAAACTCTCGCTGTAGCAGAAAACTTGAAGTGCATAGAGAGCCATCAGTTGCAGCTCGTTCTGGCCCAGGAAGGTCTGCAGCATCTGGCTATAGGTCTCCAGCAACTGCTGCTCCTTTAGGGTCACCGACTTCTCGGGCGCCTCCTTGGGATCGGTGCCGGGGGCCAGGGTCGTCTCACGGGTCACATACTTGACCACCACGGTCATAAGGGCCTGAATGAAGCCCGGGTCCTTGTAGTACTTGTTCTCCACATTGGCCTTGATCCACTTGTAGAAGTTGTTGGGATTTGGATCGCTCTGCAGCTGCTTCAGCATCTCCGACTGCACCTTGAGCAGCGGGTAGAGGAATGACAGCTGGCGGTCCTCGAGGATCTCGGCCAGGCGCTCCTTGGTGCGATCGGCTTCCGGCAGGCTGTTCATCAGGTCGACCTTGCTGGCGCGGAACTTCTCCTCGAGCGCCTCCTTGCCGATGGTCTTGTGCAGCTGCTGCAGCACGAGCAGGAACAGCGGATAGTGCTGTCCGTTGTCCGTGTAGTTGGCGATGTCGTTCAACTTGAGCAGAGCTGGCTCGCACACAGTCTTGGCCAGCACGGTGGCCACCAGGAACGTGATACGGGGATTGAGTGCCTCGCGTTCGTTCATCTTGTTGACGAGCTGCTTGAATACCTCGACGATCACGTTCGGCTTGATGTTGGACTGTTTGCGCAATGTCTGGAGGAAGCGCACGACACGTTCCAGGTAGACATCGTTCACACGGTCCAACACCTCCATCAGCAGGCTGATGCACACATCCTTGAGCGCCTTCTCCGGCAGTTTCAGCTCAAGGAAACCATCCACAAGTTCGGTGAAGGGATCTGGAGTGCCGGTCGACGTAGCTGGGGTATCTGCCTTGGTCTCCGATTCTTCTTCTTCCGGGGCCACTTCTCCATCGACTGCCTTCTCGGCTGTGTCGCCGTTTACCTTCACCTCCTCATCCTCCTTTGCATCGGCATCAGCCACCACACCATCTTCCTTGATCTCCGCCTCCAAGTCGAAGTAGAACTTGTCCTTGAAGAACTGGGTGGCCTTCTTGGACAGCTCCTCCTTGCTGGGGCCCTTGTCCTTCTTCTGCTGCTTGCCGGTGCCACCCACCGGGGTGCTGGGTCTCTCCACCGAGCCGCTCTTGCCCTGATCCTTGCCGTCCTGCGATCCCTTCCTGCCACCCAGGCCATCCGTCTGCTCACCCAGCTTGTCCGATGCAGAGCCAAAGTTTGGCGACGAGGAGGTGGCCTTCAGGCCGCGCTCCTGCTGCAGACCCAACAGGGTACGGTTGTCCGCATACTCGGCGGAGGGGGTGGACGAGGGGCGTGCCGGATTCAGCAGATGAGAGGTTGGAGTGCCCAACAGCGGGTAGTGCGAGTTGGATAGCTGGCTCTGGTCCTTGGCCTGCTGATCCTTGCTGCTGCTGTTCGGCGGCGTGGATATGGGCAGCGTGGCCGGGAACTTTTGGTTCTGGGAGGCCGCTCGGAAGAGCAAGGAGTTGGCTGCCGGGCGCATCTGCAAGTTCTCCACCGCATCCTGGTTCGTGGTGATCAAGTTGCGCTTGAACCTCGGCGCCAACTCCTTGCTACCCAGCAACTGATTACCCCCGTATTGGCCATCGTTGCGATCCCTGTCGCGATCGTTGTTCCTTCGCGAATCGTCCCGGTCACGATCCCGGTTATTGGAGGAGCCTCCACCACCGCCGCTCCCTCCGTTCTGGTTGTGCTTGTTGTAGCGGCTGCCATAGTTGGCACCGCCGCCGCCACCCTGATCGCGATCCCGGTTGCGATCGCCACGATTGTTATATTGGCGATTGTCGCGATCCCTGTCCCGATTCGAACCGGAGACGAACCTGCAAGAAGGCCATAAACTGTGATTAGAACGTCACTCCCACAATAAAGCCTCTCCCACCAGGAGTGGTATACTTACGGCGAGACAATCGGAGAAGCTCCCGTCACACTCAGGCCGCTGAACATGTCGTTGTAGCCGCCAGGCTGAAGATTAAGATGGAAACGATTCATCCAACTGTCCGAGTCGCGATCGTTGTTGCGCATATCGCGACCACGATTGGGGAACGGGGTGCGGATAATCGAGTCGTCGTCCGAGCGTATTTGCTTTATGGGGACGGGGCCCTCGGTGGTGCCCACCTTGCGCGGCACCCAATGGTTCTGGCGCAGCTCGATGACATCCTTTAGCATGAAGCGAATCCTTGGTGGATATTCAAATGACTTTGACCGACGTTCAAGTGTCTCGAAGTACTGGTTCATCAGCTCTTTGCCCTGTTCTGAATCCAGGTTCTTGCCGCAAGTCTTGAGCAGCTGAGCCAGGCATTCCATGTCCTCGCACATCTCCTGCGCACCGGCCGTACGCTTCTTCTTCTTGTCCAATAGCTCCATGATGCACTGGTGCAGCACATTCTTCGACAACATATCCAGCTTGTTGAGTTCGCCAATAAACTTGACATTGCCAAGCATCCGTTGCTTCGCCAAATGGCGTCGCTCCTCCTCGTCGGCCTCATTCTCGGGCGGTGGCCGTTCACGGTTGTCGTTCTCGTCGCGCTTCAATCGATTGTTGAACTTGTCGCGGCACACGGCGATCAGAAGTCGCAGAAAGGTGCACGAATTGTTGGGCTGCTGTTCCTTGTCAAATGATGGGGCTTCCTCGGACAGTCGCTTGCACAGCTGGGCGTACATAGACGAGTACTTCGGCTCGTCCAATGCCTTGTCGAATATCAGCAGAATCACGCCGTTCAGAATCACGATCGAGTTGAGGTCTAGCTTCAGTAGTTCATCGCTCAGCTCCTGGAACTTCTCGGGCGTTAGCTTGTTCAATATACCACGGACGCGTCGGAAAACGGCGTCGTTCTTTTCGCTTTGGGTGAGCCCATGCTGCGGACGCAGCGATGGTGGTATCCAACGTCCGGTAACTGGTGGCGGAGTACTTGCCTTGCCCGCCTGGGATCTCTCCTGATGAGCCTGATGGTGTTGCTGCTGCTGCTGCTGCTGGTTTTGCTGTTGCTGATGGAGCTGTTGCTGCTGTTGTTGTTGTTGGGAAACTGGTCCGCCGGCCGAGTTCAATGAAATGTTCGAAGAATTGGAAGTGGATCCCGAAATCTGAGCTGAGGAGGCATTGCCGTTGCGTAGGACTGGAGTACGATTGCCTACCGCTCCCCGATCGTAACGATCCGTCGCCTCCGGCCTGCCGTAGCCGCCGCGAGGTCCTCCCGCACCTACCCCCGGTCCCTGTCCCGGTCCCGATCCGTTCCGCTCAAGACTATTCGTGTAGCGTTGGTGTGATGGTGAGTCGTCGTAATTGTCGCGGTAATTGTTGCTATAGCCGCTGCCACTCACGCCTCCATCATTGTTGCTGCGAGGAGGCCTGCTGCCAGTTGAATTTGCTGACGATCCGTTGTAAACGGACGTGGATATAGAATTGGAAATGGAGTTGGAGTTATTGTTGCCGTTGCCGTTCCCGTTGCCGCTGCCGTAACGTGGCTGCGGTCCGTTGCTCCCATTGCCGTTCTCGTAGTTGCGGGCGGAGCGATAATTGCTGCCACTGCCACCGGAACCAGAGTTTACTCCTCCTTGTCCTTGTCCACCACCACCACCACTACCACTACCACCGACAGTGGAGTTCGAGTTTAATGATCGATTGTAGTTGCCATCGGAGTTGGAGTGATAGTTGCGACTACCACGATGAGCTCCGCCTTGCTGGTCCTGCTGGTATCTGCCGGAGGAGCCGTTGTAGACGTCGGTACTGCCGCCGATGCCTTGACCCAAAATGTCACTATTTTTTTGATAGTAACGCGACGACGACGAATCACCCTGGTAAGATCGTCGAGGTCTTGGGCTCACTTCGCTATCGTGTTGGCGAATTTTGGCGGAATTCTTGCTATAGCCAGTTGAAAAGTGTCCGGTTGGTCCACCAGATGATCGGCTTCCGTTTCTGCCGCCTACACCCTCGCTGCTAGCTGGGGAACCGACGTTGCCGCCGCCGCCGCTCTTATAGCCGGAACCGGTGTTAGAGCCTTTGCGGTAATGGCCGCCGCTACCGCCCTGATTCGAGCCCGATGATGGGGATGATCCCTTGTCGATCTTGACCAAGTTCTTGAGATTGTTGAACGTATCGGTCGCTGTAGTGATCGGCAAGAGATTGGGACTGGTGTTCAGCAGGGTTTTGCCGACCGAGGGAGTCGGTGGGGTTTGGCCACCGCAGCTGACGCCGATAACGCCGCCGCCTCCGCCACCACCGCGATTCGTGGGCTGATCGTAATTGCGCTCGATCTCGCCGGGATTGGCCGTTATTACCAGTCGTAAATCGCTGCCGCCGCCGATGCTCGTCGTGTCACCGGTGCTGGTGCCTCCCTCAATGGTGATCGCTTTGCCGCCCCGGAACTGATCTATGATGACGCCTGCCTGGTGCCCGTTGGTGAGGTCCCAACGCTGCGGACTGTCGTCGTAAGAGTGCAAAAGGGGAGCGGCGTCGTACGTTGATAGAGGAATGGTGATTGATTTTCTGGATCGACTCGGGGGCGAAATGGATCGTGCGCAAGTTGCACGAATTTGAATCCTCGTAACTGGAGGAGGAAAGCTGATCTGATCTGTTGATGGTGATCCCCGGCTGGTTGGCTGGGTTTGTCCTGATCTCAGATCTCACGTGTGCTCCTTTACTGGTAACTACTGGACGATAACGCACACAAATGTAAACAAACAGACGCGTACGTACACACAGATACAATGTGGAAATGGATCCGATCGATAGCTGGATGTCTTCTGATGGTCCTGCTATTGATTCCTGTTGGGTTCCTGGTCCTGGATTTCCGATGCCTAGTCAGCTACTGCCAAGAGTTGAGAGTCCTGTGTGGGTAACACCTGGTTGTATGGTCTCTCCGTCACGATACGTCACACTTGGGGTTGCCTTGCGTATGTGGGAATCCTGTACAGGACGAGAATGATAAGTATAGTAAATGGGAGACGGAATCCGGGGGGAAAAAAAAAGAGGCAACTGTGCGGTAGGCAAAGAGTAGGAAAGACTAAAATATACAGAGTACACGAAAGAATCTAGGACCGATCACACGAGTTATAACTATATCTTACGTTCAATTGTGACAGGAATATAAAAGAAATGCCAGTCTGATTGTGTTGTGTATCTGTATCTGAGTATCTGAATATCTGAGAATAACTGATCTTGTCGGATGTTTGCTTGTCTCTGGCAGTGCCTGGGTTTTTGTTTACAACGACAACCAGCACCAGTACCAGTACCAGCACCTGCCTAATAATCCACCCAATGCAAACTGGAAATAATGTGCACTTAATGGAAATAACCTCGCCGAACACCTTCAAGTTTATTTCACTCTTCCCCCTTTTCTCTTTCCCCAATTGGAATTCTCTCCACTTTCATGGATGACTGTGTGTGTGTGTGTGTTTGGGGCTCAAGCAGTGTTGCCATCTCCCCGTAAAGTGATTAACTTTAATTAATTGTTTTTTTTTAATATTATATTTTATTTATCAAGGCTTCTAGACAGCAGCTACTTACAACTAACCGTTTTCAAAGTTTTTACTCAACTGAGCTGAGAATTACTTTCCAACTGATTTGACTTTTGGATACTGTGTCGCTGTTCTTCTTTGTTCCCGCTTTCTTTGTTTGGCGCGCATTCACACACACACATACAAACATATACTATAGAGATGGGGGGAAATTGAAAAAGAACTCAGTGGAGTGCGAGTGGGATGGGGATACCACCAATTGCTAGAATCTCCATCTGTGTGTCAGTGTCCTTTCTTTGTGTTGAGGTTTATGGCCTCAGCTTTGGAGCTCTCCCTCGTGCTGTCCTGCTCGCTCCACATCAGCGATGCTGCTCTTCTGCGCCATCGAATTAAAGTCTCTTGACCCCGGGACCTAAACAGAGTCTCACCCATGGAGTTATATAGTACACTCTACGACTGATTAGCGTATTTCGGTGAGTTTGCCAAGTGACTCACTCACCCAATGGTTTTGGATTTAGTTGCCCCAATTGATTTGGGGAGACACTATGTAGTCGGAAGATTGCTGTGATTGTGTGTGTATGCGGTAGAACAACCCTGCCTGCGTCTTTGTCTCCAAAGCCATCGGTGTGTACATACATATTCGAGTTCTCAACTGCCTTCCTGCTGCCTTTCCTGCAATAATGTCTTCTCGTCTCTTCTAAACACCCCCCAGAACAGCACAAAACAGTTCCCAATGCGAAAAGCCACCCCTTCTGCAGGCAGGCACTGCAGCGATAGAGGCGTCGACCCCGACCCCCCTACCCACATCCCTGCGCCCAGACCCAGTTGTGGATGATTTTGACCTCAATTCGAGCGTTCGGCTCGTGTACAAGTGTTTGCTTGGGCCGTCTGCATATTTAAACTGGCCAAGTGGCACACCCACATTGCAAGACCCTGTGTTTTCCTATCTTTGATTGCGGGGGCTCCAAGACCAAATAATAACCACATTTACGTAGCCATAGCCGATCTATGGAATTCACTCGATTTTTGCAATGACGACAGCAGGGCAGCAGGCGAACAAAGTGCACTCTCACTCGGCTAGCTCTCTTTCCCCCCTTTTTGGGTGGGGGGAGGAGAGAGTGTGTTGGACAGATCCCAAAGAGAGTGAAGCTGGCTGATGTGGAAAAATCTCAAAACCGTGGTTCAGGGGGTGTCTTCCAGGGGGAAGGTGAGGCCAACAACCAAGACGGATGGATGGATAGTGGCTGCGGCAACGTCAACAGCATATGAGATTTTCCGATGTGCCGCCGCCATTTTGTGTGTGAAATGAGTGTATACCCACACAGACACACACAACCAACTGACTTTCTTTGTGTTTTTTATTCGAGTGATTCATTGAATGCTCACTTTGTGTAGCAGTTTACTCGCTTATTATTATCACTCCGCAATGACGACTGCAATTAACGTTGATTCGCAATTTTATTGATTTCACAGCTTGACTTTTTCGCCGTGAAGAAACGAGGACGTGCACACAGACACACACTTATACACACGAGTTTCATCGGTTTTCTCTCGCGCATCGTGGTCATTTTTTAGGCTATCTACCGGAAATGCAATACCCATCTAGCAAACCTTTTATTTTTTCCCAAATTTTAAGTTCTGTCTTATCCGCAGATTAATTTTCCCTATTATTTTACTAACCTTTACTTGAGTAGTTTCGTATGGCAAAAACACGCAAGGTTGGTTCCACGGAAATTTAGTGATGGTTTGATTTTGGGCCTTGTATTATGGTGTGGGTAAATATCGAAAAAAGAATATCGATATATTATCGGAAGAGTTTAGTAAATACGGTCATACTCGCAATCAGCTGATATTATCCTTTTTACCATTCGTAGAAAGTCTCACCTCTAAGAATATCGATTGAGCAAAAAAATAATTTGAGCTTTTATTCTCTACATTTTAAATTTGTTGGTTATTTTGCCTCCTATTTATTGGGGTCAGAATAAAAATTGTACATAAGGTATACGTTATTTTTACTCTCTCCTAAAGTAATCAAAATTATTATCGATAGTTTGCATTAGTGCTGGAAGGTACCTTTTTGTTTTCAGTGCTGTAAATAAGCTGCAGACCGCCAAATTTAACTGAATTTATTTTACACATTGATAAAGAATTACCTTAAACAGATTTATTTTATTTTAAATTAGTTATACTGTTGATGAATTTCAATTTTTATTTTCCAAAGGCAAGCTTTTTTCCAAAACCATGAGATTTAAACGGTTTACCAACGCCACAACTATGTTAAAAATGAAAACTATCATTGACTGTTCAATGATTTAACAGTTTTCTGTTCCGTTTAATTTTTTTATTTATTTAAAAAGGGTATTTTTTATATTTCCTCTTTACTATATATCCCCTATGGAAAGTTCTTAATATTAATTAATTCTTTATCTAGCCATTTAGCATTTTTTACAATAACAGATGCATTATGCTGTTTAATTACAATTAATTGCCCAGCATTAACCATTGACAGATATAGTTTACATATTGTGCTCCCTTTTATGACCTTTCGGCCACAACAACATAATAGACCGTGTCCTAGGCCGTCGCACTATCACTCCGTTTGATAAATGTATTTTCCTCGCATTATCAACGCAGCCATCTAGCACAACCCTTTCCCCAGGACCCACACTTTTCATCCTCCGCCCCTCATCCCTATACCCCATTGCCACCACACAGTATATACACACGCAGGATAACCATGAAGCAGGGGACACCAACCGAAAAGAAGAACAATTTAATTAGTGATGACATGTTGCCATTTAATTTTCTTGTAAAAAGTGTAATTAAAAATGTTTGCCTCGCAGCTGGAAGAAGTTGCCTGGTAGCTGCTAAAGGCGTAAAGGATATATAAAGGATAAAGGTGAGGTAAACAAGCCCAAAACGATCATATATCGGTAGGTTGGTGATAAATCATATTGCGACTGCCTCCGGCGCATATTAGGCCCTCTAAACGATGAGATAATCTATGGTCGCAGCAACAACAAAATGCTGCCACCGGCAATAAATTTGGAAAATACAAAACATTCTGACAATTTTCCTAGCTTGTGTGTGTGTGTTTTGTGAGTCCATCCTGGAACAAACAAACACACACACATGGTGAGAGGACAAAGGCCGCTGCAGGACATACAGCAGTCACGTCAACACTTTCAACTCTTTCGGTTGCCTTTTGTTTCGCCCTTTGGCCGTATCCTTTCGGCAATAAAAATTCCGTTTGCTATTTATCTTGATTGTCCCCAAGTCGCCATCGGTATACCTATATAGCTATATAGTCGGTCGGGTTTATATGCAGGACACTTCAATGTTGGTCGCCGTTGGCCTGCCTGCCTGACTGCCTGCTGTTGAACATTTTTTGCTTAATGAAATGTACATAAAACTAAATGAAATTAAGTTTGTGGCGTGCTCGTGCCAAGTCCCAAGTTTTAACTTTCCAAGTCCGAGGGACACTCTCCGATTCCCCGTTCTAATTCTCATTCTCTATTGTATATCCTAAGCGTTAGCTGCGTGTTTATTACCGAGTCGGACATAAAATGCAAAACGCGTTTCTGCCCCAACCCCTTTCAACCGGAAACAGGGGGCACAAAATGGCCGCCAAAACGAACCCTTTTCCGTTTTTCGAGGAAATCGCTGGGGCTCGCCCGCGTCCTTTTCGCATTCGAAATTAAAGCAGTTGTACTTGCCGGATGTCGGATGCGGATTGCGGGTGTGTCAGAAGCAGGAGCCGGATCAGGATAAGGGGCGGGAAACAGGAGCAGGGGTTGCTGAAAAAGCTCATAAAGTCGAAATTAAATAATTTGTCTTCTTAATTTTCAAATAAATTCTTCATCATGCGACTAAGGGGAAACCCCAAGCAGCAAAAACAATTGTCAGGCTACACGGATACGCACCCCTCGGAAAAAAGGACACAAGGCCGCCGCTCGGAAAAGTGAACTCAGTCAGCCAACCAGAAGCGTGGCGAAATCTCACCAGCATCCATCCCCTCAATATCCTTCGAAGGAAAACGGCACCCCATCCATCCGCAAGGATAAACACTCGAGAACAAGTTTGCCGGGCAGGCAGTCAGTCAGGCAGGCAGGAGAGTTTTATTAAATTCGACCTACACCATCCCATGAATATCCTTGGGCTCATC